TGAATAGAGCAGTACCATTAATCAGAATAAAGCAAAACAGTAGTAAAAATATTTGCCTTCAAAGAGATGGTAGAAGGAAATCCCCCTTATTGTTATATTGCATATGGTCAACCTCCCAAGAGATGCTCAGATCTCTGGTTCCCATTTGCTAACAGGGTAAGTGGGATGTTTGACTCTCAGCCTGTGCATCGATAGGCTCACTATTGCTTACCAGGGAAGCAGGCTGGTTGCTTGGTGTCTCAGCACCATAAGTTCCAACATGGCGCGGATCTCAGGAGGTGCCGGTGGTTCTTCCCTCCTCCCCTCTTGAACTCAACTTCCTGGCTTCCTACTGAGTTGAACTTGGTAGCTTCACCCTGACACTAGATAGAACCTGCCTGCAGCTGTTCTGATTCTGAGCCCTGAGGCCCTCCCTGAGGCCACTGATCTATCACCCTTTCTTAGGGAACATCTGAACCTAGGTAACTTACCAGTCACTGCCACCCATTGCATTCACTGCTCGGTTCCCCTGGTGCAGTTCCTGTGGAGGCTTCTAGGGTAATCAGTAGTCCTCATGAGCCACCCTTCATACACAGTGAGTCAGGGCTCAGGGAGAAAGTGCCACTTGCCACCTTCTTCTGCTTCATTGAAACACTCTCCCTGTGGGCTTTGATTCTCACTTCAGAGCCTTTCTAGGTCCCAGATACCCACTTTCTTCCTTCTTTCTTCAAGTTGCTATATTCCAATGTCTGGATACCAAATCTCGGAGAAGCTCTTTTTCTGCTGCTTACCTCTCTGCCATCTCACCATCTTCCCAGAAGTCTCTCAAAAATACCCTGTCTCTCTCTCTCTCTCCCTCTCTCTTTCTCTGTCTTTTTGAGACAGGGTTTGACCTTGAATGCACTTTTTATAGCCCTGGCTGCCCTTGAAATTGCAGTGATCCTTCTGCCTTAGCCTCCTGAGTGCTTACAGGCACGCACCTCTCAAACATTCTTTAAAAAACTTCTATCAATTTAAAAACCTTCTATCAATATAGATGTGATGCACACATATAATACCAGCTACTTGGGAGCCTGAGGCAAGAGGATCAGAAGTTCAAGGCCAGCTAGGGCAACACTGTAAAGCCATAATAAAATAAAATAAAATAAAAAAATTTATAAATGTCTGGGGATATAGATCAACTGTAGAGCTCTTGCCTACCATGCATGAGGCCCTGGGTTCAAAAAGTCCCTCTGTCAAATGTATCATATTAATTCTAACATATACAAGCCCCAGGCACTGGCCATTTCTCTATGAAAGCATTATGAATTTTCTAGTGGAACTTTACTTTCCTAAGTGCAAATATTAAAGGAACTACCAAGAGAGTGAAGAGCCAACCCACAGTGTGGGAAAATTTTTCTCACTAGCTATTGCTCAAAGAACTAGTATGTAGAATATATAAGGAACTAAAAAAAAATCAGACTCCCATAAATTGAAAGACCCAATCCAAAAGTGGGCATTTGAAATGAATAGATATTTCTTAAACGATGATGTATAAATAGCAAATAAATATATGAAAAAAAGGTTCAATATCACTGGTCATTTGAGAGATGCAAATTAAAATGGTGATAAGATTCCACCTCATTCCAGAAAAAAAATGGCTATTAACAAGAAATCAAACAATAACAAATGCTGGTGGGACTGTGGGGAAAAGGAACTCTTCTTCACTTTTGGTGGGAGTGTAGACTGGTGCAACCACTGTGGAAATCAGTGTTGAGATTCCTGAAAAAACTAAAACCAGAAGTTCCATTTGACCTGGATATTCCCCTTCTTGATATATTCCCAAGAGAAATAAAATCACTATACCACAGTGATATATGCACACCTATGTTTATAGCAGTACAGTTTGTAGTAACTAAATCTTGGAAACAGCCTAGATGCCTATCAGTGAATGAATGCATAAAGAAAATCTGGTTTTTATATGCAATGGTACTACTCTGGCATAAAGAATGATGAACCTAAGTAAGTGGATGCAGCTTAAGAACATAATTTTAGGTGGAATTCAGACATACATGTTTACATAGCATTGTTTCTCTGGTGTGAGGAACCCAAAAGGTAAGTAAGGAGCAAAACAGAAGATCTATATTAGGATGCAGGAAGAAATGTTCAAATGGGAAGTGGAGCAAGGGAGTAGGGAAAGGGAAGGAAGGGAATAGGAATTTAAAAAAAAGAATGGAAGGGAAAACAATGGAAACAAAATTTTGTAAATGGGGAGGGAAAGAATGGTTGAAGGGAGGGTAGGGGAATGGGAAAAAAGTTAAGATATATTAAATACAGGTACAAATTCTCTATGATTAATCTGATCATTGCATATGGCAAAAATGTACCAATAAAATTAATTTTTAAAAAGTGCAAATATTTGTGCCTGTCATGGCTTGTGTTTAGATGTTCACTCAGAGCCTCATGCGGTCATAGGTAGGGTTATTTTCAGAGGTGGCTGGATCTAGAGTGTGTTATACTGGGATTGATTCATGGTGCAGAGCTTGGATCAACGGCACTGAGATTACAGGTATAGCAACCTTCCCTGAATAGAGTGGATAAAATAAGAGGGCTAGAAAGAGCTATGGTTGTCTCTTGTTTGCATCACTATCTTCTGCCCAACATGAACTGTTTCTCCTTTGTGATGCTCTTCTGCCATGTCATTCTGCCTTGGAGCCAGCCAGTGATGGACTGAAATCTTGACAAATGGATCTAAATAAAGCTGTCTTCCTTTAACCTTGGGTGTCAAATATTTTGTCTCATCAATGAGAAAATTAACTAAGACAGAGTCACTCGAATCAACTTCTGAATGTTGAGGATGAGTAGGGCCCCAAACACTTGAAATTGGGGTTCACTCGATAGTTGCAACTTATTTTATTTTGTTCTGATTACAAAAGAATAGAGAACATCCCTGATTCAAAGTCTGGTGTTTCTTCAGCTCTGAAACTGGAATCCTTCCAGTGAGAGTAGGGATTGCTACAATCCCGTTTTGCAGAGGGACAACTGATGCTCAACGTGGAGGGGCTGGAGGGAAGCAGTGCTGCCTCCTTGCTTCTCAGAGAATCTAAGTCACAGATCGTCACAGTGAACTTGCTCACGAGGAAGACACACCTGACCCCACCCCGCAAAGACGAAAAAGATTTCTTTGACATGCTTACAAACTGGTCGAATATGTGCTTAGTGAGGGGGAACAAATTTTATTCCAGGGCCTGTAGAAAAGCCAGTTAGGCCGGTTAGTCTAGAAGGATGCCTGTTTGTTAAAATATGATGTGTATCATGTCTAAGTGCTTTCAAACAAACAATCTATTTGTAAAGTAAATTCGTATATTTTTCACTATTTTAGTAATCTCATTATTAGTTTTGTTTTTGAAAACTAAGAAAATATCATTATGAAAATTGTTTCAAACACTACGTAGTTAATCTATGGCGTGAAAATTCCTCCTCTCCCATCTCCTTCCTATGCCCCATGAGAGCATGGGATTTGGATGTGTAATTATTTTCAAAATGAAAGCACTTCAGCACCATGTGGGGCTCTTTACCTTTTTCACTGACAAAAATTATGATGACTCTGGAAAATATTGCAACTGTTTTTTTTTTTTTTTTTAAGAAGTAGATTCACATATTTTGACTTGGAAAAGTGATCAGTACAGTTAGGCAGAGAAGCATGTAGCAGAACAGTTGGTGTTGTATTGCTCTGTTTTGGTTTTGGTATTGGGAATTAACCCCAAGGTCTTTGCACTGAGTCACACCCCAAGGCCTTCTTTAAAAAAAAGAAAGTGGGCAGGGGACTCAGCAGCCCAAGTGCTTGCCTGGCAACTACGAGGTCAAGAGTTGGATGTCTAATAGCAACAAAACAAAACAACCACCTTTTTTTTTTTTTTAAATTTTGAGACAAGGTCTTGTTAAGTTGCTAAGTTGCCTGGCTGGGCTCAAATTTGTGATCTTCAGGCCTCAATCTCCCACAGGAAAAGCAGTATTTAAGTATGATTCCATTACACCCATGTGTATGTTTTTATAGAAACACAGAAATATATACATTTAAGCGTTTGAAGGATCAAAAAGGATATTTTCATCCCTCTTTCTTTTTTAAAAAATCTAGTCTGACTAGCAGTTATCTAGGGGTTTGGGACAGACTGTGGGGAAAGATATATTGGGGAGTAGAACATGGAATGCTTCCCTTCTAAATTTTTATTCTTTTTTAAATGGGCAAATAGAAAATTAGTTTTGTTTCTCTAAGTATGCCCCTTAAATACCATCATCATGCTGGCCTCTAACTCATGGTGATTCTCCCGCCTCAGCCTTCCTGAGTGCTGGGATTATAGGTGTGTATCAGTATGCCCAATCCTTTAAACAATATTTAAAATGCATTAACCCTGGGGCTGGGGATTTAGCTCAGCGGCATAAGTGTCTGCCTTGTAAGCAGGCAGTCGTGAGTTTGATTCCTGGTACGGATAAAAAGGAAAAAGACAAAAAAAAAAATGCATTAACCCTTTTCTTTAAAAAGATCAATGCAGCTGGTCATGATGGCATGCATCTGTAATCCCAGCTAACAGTTTCTGAAAAATAAACATAAAAAGGGTTGGGGGATGTAGCTCAATATAGAGTACTTGTTTGTAAGTGTGAGGCCCTGGGTTCTGGCTCATACAGGGATGGGGAACTGAAGGAGAGAGATCAATGGGCACTAAGTTATATTTAGTTGCCTTTCCTTATCCAAACAAAGGATGAGCCAAGACTGAGATTTCATTCCTAACCTTGGCTAAAGCACTGGGAGAGAGGCCTTTTCTGGTTGCTGTGCTGCTTAGCTATAAGGATGGGCGTCTGGTATTGCCCAAGAAATCTGGTCACAGAAGCAAGCAGGTTTCCCAGCTCCAGACATGCCTGAATCCAATGCTTTGGTGACATGATCCAAAAAATTCCAGTGTCAGTTAGGTTTCTGTCACATCCATTGGGAGCGTTCTTGTTCATTCAGCCTTGCCCCCAAAGAAAACAAATCCCCTCACCCATTCAGTCAGCTTGTATTTATTGAGCATCCCGTCCACACTCAGCCCTTTACTGACTGACAGTGGGGACAGGACAGTGACTGTGACAGAATGTGGCCCTCCTCATGTGGCAATCCCAGTCTTCAAGAGCTTAGACAGACAATCCCAAACTGGTTGGGAACACTGGTAATGCCTGACACACAGAAGAAGGCCAGGGAGCGACAGGGAGCAGCTGAGACCAGCTGGGGACCAGGGTCCGAGGTGCAGAAGGGGGTCAGGCGGGAGGTGGACAGGGAGGTGAGGCAACCGTGCAGGCCCAGTGGAAGGAAGCAGGAGGAGGAGGCCCAGAGGCCAAGGGGCAAGTGTGGCCTCTGCCTCTCGTCCCTCAGAGCGTGGTGTAGAGATACATGGCTATCAGCATCACGGGGAGCTGGGGAGAAGACAGTGAGATGGGGATGCCCAGCCCACTCCCCTGTCCCTCCCGGCCCACAGTCCCGCCTCTCACCGTCCACATCAGGATGGAAAACCCAAACCATGAGATGCCCCACGTGTAGCTGTTGATGGCATGGCTGATGTGCTCGAAGCAACCCTGGTTGGGGGACAGCGAGGAGTGGAGAAGACTCTCAGGAGGCTGATTGTCAAACACCAGTCACTGTGTGCCCTTGGGAAAGTCACTTCTTTTCCCAAGCCTCAGTTTCCCCACCTGTGTAATGCCAGTGTCTTCATCCCAGGGAGGTTTCAGGGGCCCTTAGGTTTAGTCCGGTTCTGACACCTACTCATTTACAAATGAGCTTGAGTGAGGCCTGGGGCCCTTCACACAGCCCCTGCCCCGGCTTGGGCCTTATGCTCTGATGCTGTGCTGGAGGCCAGCTCTGCCATACTAGGCAGTGAGTCCCACAGGCATGATCCTGCCCCTCGCAGTCTCAGTTTCCTCATCCATGTAGTGGTGATCCTGAGAGCTGCGGCAAGGACTCCGTGCGACGAAGCATGTGCACGCTTTGTAGTGAGGTGGGCATGAGAATGACTGTCCTCTTCTGCCCCGACCATGGCTTGCTGCCCCCTTCTCAGGACACCTGACCTAAGACGTGTTGCTGTAGGGCCCTCAAGCAGCCAAAAGCAGCCAGAGGGACCAGTGAGACCAGTTCTTTTCCTGTCTACTGTGTCTTTTTCTTTTTAGTCAGTACTGGGGTCTGAACCTAGGCCCTTTGTACTGAGCTACATCCTCTGTCCTTTTTAAAAATATTTAAAAATTTTAAGACATGGTCTCATTAAATTCCCTAGACTGGGGTCAAACTTTGGATCCTCCTGCCTCAGCCTCCCTCAGTGCTAGGATTATGACTTGCACCACCAAACCTCACTCTAGTCTGCCTTCGTATTCCTTTCCCTGGTTCTGAGCTGCTCTTGCCTAGTTAAAGAACTCTTTAGGGACTGACTGTCCAAAATCAGATCCTAGCTCCCTGCCTAATTATTGAGCAACCTTTCAGTCTCATCATCTGTACAATGGGGTCGCTGCAGTCCTTACCTCAAAAGATTGTGGTGATGATTAAATAAGATACAAATTGAAAGTACTGAAAAGCACACATAGCACAAGGGAAAAGCTCAATGAATGTGGGTCATCACTGGCATTGTGCTGTTGACATTGTTGTGGTTGTTGCTGTCATTCCTGGACAGGCCGGGACAAGTTTCAGAAGCCTGGTGTGGGTCAGACCAAGCTGTGAGCATCCTGCTGACTTGCAGGGAGAGTGGAGAAAGGAGAGGAAGAGGATGGAGAAAGAGAGAGCTGAGAGGGAAGGAGGGGGAGACAGACAGACAGACAGACATGCAGAGTGGAGAGAGACAGTGAGCACCAGAGAGGGAGCAGAGACCAGGGAAGGGTGACGAGGAGCCCACCTTGATGAACAGGTAGTCCACGTGGCCCACTCGACAGCCCTCTTCATTGAGGGGAATGAAGTTTCCTGTCCTGCGGCAGCACAGCGGGGGCCAGGGGAACACCGCCTCCAGAGTGGCCGCCCGGAAGGTTGATGTGTAGTTCACCCAGTCCATGGGACCAGACGTGCCGCAGCACTCTTGCTAGAGAGACAGGTGAGGATGAGGCAGGTTAGGGCTCAGATAGGGCGGCCTCACACCCACGATCACCCAACAAACCACAACCTGTCCAGGGCTGGTAAGTTGATGGGAGATTTGGACCAGACTCACACTCTCAACCTTTTAAAGTCATGTCTTTTTTTTTTTTTTTTTTTTTTTTTTTTTGGTACCAGGGATCGAACTCATGACCTCGAACTTGCCAGGCAGGCACTTGGACCTCTGAGCTATATCCCTGGCTCCACACTTACAATCTTTTAAAAAATTATTTTGTGGACAACTATGCTGAAAAATGACACAAAAAGACAGATTTCTCCATTTTCCTACTCCTGGTGGGTGTATAATTTGAAGCCTCTGAATGACGAATATATAGGCTGGCCCACATCTGTAATACCAGCACACTGGGAGGCTGAGGCAAGAGGATCTTAAGTTTGAGCTCAGCCTGTGCAATTTAGTGAGACTCTGTTAAAATTTTAAAAATACATTAAAAAGGGCTGGATATAACTCAGTGTAAAGACCCTGGGTTCAATCCCTAATACCAAAACCAAAAACAACTCCCCCCCAAAAAAACCCATGATAAGCTTGGGCATCCTTCAAACAGTTTAGCTCGTGGCTAGATGTGTGACTTGGATGGAGTTGAGCTGTGTGACTTGAGGTCTCAGTTTCACTTGAGACCTTAACTTCTTCCTTTTCTCTAGCAATATCATGCTGAACTTAAGTAAGAATGTGGTTTCTGGAATCTGGTGGCTTGGGTTTGGATCCTTCCTGTTCTGTGAGTCACCCACTGTGTGACCTCACGACAGCCAGTAACCTCTGGCTTCTGTTTCTTACTAATAAAAAGCTAATCTGCCTCAAAGCATGGTTGAGAAGACTATATAAATTTCACAAGTGCTTCCAACAGTGTTCAATAAATGGGTGCTATTGTGGTTATTATTATTATCATTATTACTGTGGGGTTGGTATGGATCTAGAGTGCCAGGTACAAAATCCAGCTGTGCCACTTACCAGTCAAATGATCATTGGAGAGTGAACCTTCCCTTTCTGAGCCTGTTTACTCTTTGAAAATGGTGATGAACAAAGTCCCCTCATGCCACTATGCGTGGCTATCTTTCAAGCCCTTGCTCATGTACAAGTGGGCATGGTGGGAGTCCTTTCCATCTCTGTGGACAGACAGGGCCCCAGTCCCTCCCAGAACCCGCCCAGTTGTGTTTCCTGTTTGGTTGCTTCTTTACAGTGCTGGAGGTAGAAGCCGGGGCCTCGAACATGCCAGGCTAGCCCTGCTGCATTCAGCTGCACCACAGCCCCAGTGCCCACCTCGATCATCATGCGGTCCCAAAGGCGAGTCAGCTCCTGGCCTTGGTCTGTGTTGGCACTGTAGAAGGTCAGCATCTGCTTGGTGATCAGGGATGGGTTGGACACCATCTGCCAGGGTTGGGAAGAGCAGAGGTCAGTGGGGCTGGACGAGTGGGGAGAGGTGGGAACCCCCTCCTTTCCAAGCCCTCCCTGTCCGTCTGCTCACGTAATCTCGGTGGGTGTAGGAAGTGATGCAGGAGGCGCACTCAAAGATGTAGATGATGAGCATGAGCACCAGGTACTGGGGAGAGACACGGTGGGGACAGCTGTCAGGACAGAATCTGTGCAGCCACACGCCGCTGAGAGAAGGAGCCCCAGGGAGGAGAAATGGGGTACACTGGCAGGAGAGGTGTGTAGCTCAGTGCCAGGGCATCTGCCTAACACACGCAGGGCCCCGAGTTCTCTCCTCAGCGGTGCTGGTAAAGAAACAGACTTTCTATGTAAGGTTTAGGCCTTGTAAATGGTCACATTTGGGTGACAGGTTAAGTTGTCCAGCTTTTCTGGATGTTTAAAATATTTTATAATAAAATGTGAAGAAATAACAAAATCTTAACTGGCTTGGGGCGAGAGAAGGAGAGAGAGAGCGGAGGGAGGAGAGAGATGGTCAGTATCACCAGAGACATGAAGCACAGATGGAGGGACCGGTAGATATGAAGGAACCAGGCTGAATTTTGCCAGATATGTCTGTGGCACAAGGGCAAAAGAAGGCTCCATAGCGGTTGTTTCATGAAAATTGTTTCCCTGTCCCCATCCTTCGCCCTCATCTTTAAAGCAACAGGTGGTGGGGTGTGGGTGTGAGCGCTCGCGTGAGAGATGGGGTGACATTACAGAACATGACACACTGTGTTCAAAGTCCTTATCGCACAGAGGAATGTGTGCTCCAGTATTTACAGGCACAGAGCTTGCTTTCTAGGATGTGGCCGGGCAGAGGGAGTGGTGCACTGAGCTGGCTGAAATCAGGTGATGGAGGACACTGGGTTCAAAATGCCATTTACTCCACTTCATGCTTGAAATTTCCCATAATAAGTTAAAAAAATATTTTGTGTTTTTGTTAATGATAAACTAGTAGGGGGCCAGGCACAGACACATTAAAAAAACTAGTTAGGTAAAATGTAGGACTTGGGTTAAATTGTTAGGCCAGAAAATTAAACATAGCCAGCACTTGGGAGGCTGGGCCAGGAGGATCACTGTGAGTTTGAGGGCAGCCTGGGCTACATAGGGAGACCCTGTGTCAAAAAAATAATAAATAAATAAATATAGGATAATAAAAAAAGGAAAGAAAGGAGAGAGGGAGTAAAACAGAGAAGAAGGTAGGGAAGAAGGATCCTTTTATAACTCCCTCGCTCGCTCTTTATTTGTTATTTATTCTTTTGGTCATGGTGGCAGTGATGGTGGTCCTGGGGATCAAAACCAGAATCTTTGCACCGCTGCATCCCAATCCTTTAAATTTATTTATTTTTCACTTTGAGATCAGGTCTTGCTAAGTCGCTGTGTTGCCAGGCTGGCCTCCAATGTGTCATCCTCCTGCCTCAGCTTCCCCGAGTGCTGGGATTGCAGGTGTGCACACCATGCTTGCTCCATCTTACTCAAGATAAAGCCAAGCCCCACAAGGCCCACCGGGTGAGCCACCTTCCTTGTCCCCTTCTCCCCCATTCTTACCCTTTGTGTTCTCTCCACCCATCTTTTCTCACTTCCTCCCACCCCTCACTCGGCTGTGGTCACACTGGACTCCTGGCCCGTCTGATCTCAGGGCCTTTCCTCTTGCTGATGCCACGATCTGAACTGTTTCTCTAGCAGAGGCCCCTGGCTCACTCCTACCTGGGCTGCTGCTTCCTCTGGCCAGGGTTCCTGGTCTCTCCTAGCTCCTACCTCTCTTCCCCATCTGCCTGTGTCTAAAGCCTTTTATGTTGTGCTCACTACAGTCACCCTGGAGCCTGAGGGGATAGGGCTGCTTGGCCCATGCCTCCTGCGCAATTAACATTTGTTTACTGAATATGTACTGGCTCCTGGGAGTCTCAAAGACTCCCCCAATCCCACTCCCTGTAAAAAGCATAGCATGGTCTCTGTGTCTGTAGAAGGTGCACTGGGGTCCCTGCTCTCCTATTCATGTTGGAGAGGCCATTGGTTTCTTCTAGCCTCAATTTCTTCATCTGGTAAATGGGTTGAACTCTACTAACTGCAGAGGTCTCCTGGGAAGACTGAGGGACCTCATTTTCCAAGGTTATTGATGAGTATTGGTTGGCAGAGATGAAGAGCATGGGCTCAAGAGTGGAACTGCTCAGGTTTAATTTTTGTTTTTATCATTTTTTGAGACAGGACCTGGCAATGTAGCCCTGGCTGGCCTACTTGCAGTGATCCTCTTGCCTCAGTCTCCTGAGTCCTGGGATTACAGGAGTGCGCCACCAGGCTCAGTTGTTCAGTTTAAATTGGCCGGGCCACTAGCTGCTTGTGTGACTTTACCTCTCTGAGGCTCAGTTTCCATCTCTGCCAAATAGGGTCATGATGATGACAGTGACAGGTAATGAGGAGTAAATCCACACAAGCCATTTGATGCTCAGCACATGAGAGTTCTTAATAAAGATAGCTGTAGCTGTGTTGTTATTGGTGAGGACTCATGAACGCAGAATCTGGAGCCCAAATAACTGGGGTTCCAATCCCAGCCCTGCTACCTGAGTGGTCTTGCCATGCAGAGCTTCCCTCGGTTGCCTGAATCCGTTTCCTTTGTGCAAGGGGGTAGTGTCTGCGCCTAAGTTATGGGGCCTTGGGACAATGACATAAAGTGATGCCCAGGAGGCCTGAGGGAGGTGACATAGTGGAGATCGCATCTGTATTTTGGAAGCGGTTACCAGGACTGTGATATGCTGCCTGGGCCCACCTGTCCCCACCCGTCCTCCTCCAGGGTCTCACCATGAGGATCATGGACCGGCGGCAGCAGAGTGCTGCTCCCACACCGAAGCTGGCCACCGCGAAGAAGGAAAAGCCACAGAAGATGGCGATCCAGGCACCAGCGACGACATCATCCTTGCCTGAGACACCCATCAGCGGGTACACGCGGTACTGGTCGGCTGTCACCCATACTGTCTCGGCAAACAGAGCAAGGCCTGATAGCTGGAAGGAGCAGCTGGTTAGAAGTGGTTCCTTCCCTCTTCTGAGCCTCCACTGTCCTCTCACGGTGGCCCAGTCGCAAAGTGGGCACATAATGGATGGCACAGGCCTTGTCCTCTGTGCGCAAGCTTGGCAGAAAATAAGGGGAGAGGAAGTACCCAGCCAGGGCCCTAACCGCTGTATCCCAGCTGCCAGTCGATTCAAGGAGAAAGGAGCTGGGTATGGTAGCACACACCTGTAATCCCAAGACCCTGGGAGGCTGAAGCAAGAGGACCAAGAGTTAGAGCTCAGCCTGCATAACTAAGTGAGATTCTGACTTACAACTAAAAATAAATAGCTGGCCACAGTGACACATTCCTGTAATCCTGATTCTCAAGAGATGGAGGCAGGAGGATTACAGTGAGGCTGGGGCCAGCCTGGGTTACATAGCGAAATCAAGACCAGCCTGAATGACATAGTGAGACCCTGTCTCAAAAAAGCCAACAAACAAAGAAACAAAGAAAGGACTAAGAGTGTAATGTGAAGGCTCGGGTTCAATCCCCATTGCAAAAATAAAAGTAATGGCGAAGCCTGTAGTACATGGCCAGCACCAAGGACATGTAGAATTCATGGCTATGGCCACAACAATGATAAATGCGCCATGTATTCTTAGCTCTAGCAAGTTTACCTCCAGCAAACAACCTTGTGGCTGCACAGCCCATGCAGGAAAACCACAAATCGCCAAGGCTTGCCCCTGTAGCACCACTATAAGGGGACCAGAGGTCACTCAATGGAGTGCCACACAGCTGTCAGAGAGGCCAGGAGATGGCCTCATTCAGAGTGGCCTAGTGGCCACATGAGCAGGAGAAAACTAGGACTACAGGGGGCTGGGGATTTAGCTCAGCGGCATAAGTGCCTGCCTTGCAAGCAGGTGGTTGTGAGTTTGATCCCCGGTACATATTAAAACAAAACAAAACTAAGAGTACAGAGCAGGATGATGAACAAAGCTACATTTGGGACAAAAGGGGAGAATATAGGCATATATGTTCTTATTTGCTTGATCTTTCTTAAAGAAATGTTAGAAAAGCTAGAAATCCAGTTACTCATATAGTGGGGCATGAGGAACAAGCACTTCTCTGTGGGCAACTTTCACAACAATAAAAGCTGACACTTTGTAACAGAGTAATTGCTGCATGCCAGCCATCCCTGAGGGATTGCTCTATGTGTGAGAATCATTATTGTTACCAGCTGTAGTGTCATGAGGCTGTCCTGGCAAAATGGAAGGAGTAATCATGTGTGCTCAACTCTACTGTAAGCACAATAACCCAAAGACTCACTCTGTCCTCACAGCATACACACTTTCTCTCCACTTTATGGGGGGAAGAACTGGGTTCCAGAGAGGTTATGTTACTGGCTCCAGGTCCCACAGCTAGAAAATGGCAGAGTTGGGCTGGGGATTTAGCTCAGTGGCATAAGCGCCTGCCTTACAAGAAGGCAGTTATGAGGTCAATCCCTGGTATCGATAAAAAAAAAAAAAAAAAAAAAAAAAAAAAAGTGGCAGAGTTGGGATTTGAACCCAGACTGCCTGGCTTCAGAACCAAGTATAAGCATCATTTGTTTGTCTATCTGTCTTACACTACTGGAGATCCAACTGGACATTTTACCACAGAGCTATATCACTAGCCCTTTAAAGTTTTTATTTTGAGACCACTTCTCACCAAGTTGCCAAGGCTGCGCTCAAATTTTCAATCCTCATGATTCAGCCTTCCGAATAGCTGGGATTACAAGTGTGCTACCATGGCAAGTCCACATATTTTAAAAGCCAATATTCATTAAAAGATAATTATCATTCATTATCGTGGGCCTCTTGTGTTCCCAGCCATCACTTTGTTATCTACCATGATGCTAATGATAACAGCCAGCATCAGGCTATGCACAACAAGGACATAATCTACAGCGGAGGAAGAGGAGGCACACGGAAGTCAGGCTCTCCCTCACAGTCACACAGCTGGGGAAAGGTGGTGCTAGGATTTAAACCAGGGTGTTGTGCCTTGAGACTGACTGCCAGGAGCCTGCCAGAATCCCAGGTCCTCAGCTCCCATCCCAGCTCAGGGCTGCCACCTCCCAGCACACCCCAAAGACCTCCCCACTCCAAGTGTCTCACCAGAATAATGGTGTTGCCCACGACCAGCAGCCCCACCACAATCGGAGACCCCTTCTCTCCCTCTGCTGCTGCAGGCGCCATGGTCCTGCCTGGGACAGATGAGTGGGGATGAAGCCAGGCAGAGACTGGGAGAGGAGGGAAGTCCCAGTTGGAAGTCCCAGTCCAGCCTGCTGTCTGCAGGCTGTAGGCTGGTATCAAAATGCCCTGTGCCCCTCACCCTGGCAATGAACCCTTTCACAGCAGGGGGACCTAGGCTCAGCTGGCCTTCCTCCAGCCTCAGCCCTCCTGGACTCACAGAGCCCCCTCCTCACCTTCTTAGCCCAAAGCTTCTCTGGCCAGCCCCACCCTCAGTGGCTCCCTATATAGTCTCCAAGGAAGGAGGGAGGGTGCCCAAAGGAGGGGACAACAGCCCCAGCAGGCAGGATGGGAGAAAAGAGTTTATGAGCTTCCTGCCCCTCAAGTGACGATAAACCAGAAATTCCAGATTGTGCTACTGCCTAGTCACCTGCCTGTGGCCTCTGGTTCCCAGGCCGTTTTGGAGGAGGGGAAAGTGGGGGTGAGCACACCACCAGGTAGCCTCTCCCCAGAAAATAGGTTTTCCTGGAAGCAGGAGGGTCCTGTGTGGATCCCTTTCTCAGAATTGCTTCCTCTGCTCTCGGTGACCGCGGGAAGGTGGCTCTTCTTCTCTGAGGCCAGGGACCCAGGGGGACGCCCAGGCAGGGACGTTGTAGGCAGGGCAGGACAGGGCTGGACCAAAGGAGGAAGGTAGGGAAGAGGTGAAAGGAAAGGTGGGAAGAGGCACAGGGATCTGCCTTTAGGGCCTAACGGTTAAGGAGAGGATGGTGGGTGAGATGGGAGTGCCAGAGTAGTTTATGGAGAGGATGGAGGAAGCCAGAGAGGACACTGCAGGAACAAGGGAGGGGAGCCGGGCATGGTGCTGAAAGCCTGTGATACCAGAACTCAAGCTGAGGCAGAAGGACCGAAAGGTCCAGCCCAGCCTGGGGAATTTTGCGACTCAGCGGCATCCTGTCTAAAAAAAAAAAAAAAAAAAAAAAAAAAAAAAAAAAAAAAAAGCTGGAGGTGGAATTCTGCAAAGACCCTGGATCCAGCCCTCTCATCCCCCGTCAAAGAGGGGGAGAGCAGAGGGCAGAGAACACATAGAATAGACTTGGTAGGAGAAAAGCAGTCTGGGGCCCCAACACACACATGTACACGCACACACGCACGATAGAAATTTTCCAGGTTACAGAATCAAAGAGATCTAGGTTGAAATCCTGGTTCATCTCCTCTATGCCATCTGCAGAATGGGTGTCCTCAGACCGCTCTCCGGGCGGAGACGCCGAGGGTGGGGCTTTCAGCAACAGCGGAGCTCCCGGGTGGCCGCGCCGCGCCTCTCTCGCCGCGGGCGGAGGCGCCCCACTCTCCGATGGCACCCCCTGGTGGCGCAGCGCTGATTTCGCCGGCAAAGATCTCGGCCCCAAACGAGGGTGCATTGTCTCTGAGAGCCCACACTCTGCCTGCTGTGTGCGCCGACAAACCACGGCGCTTACAATTGCATTGCCAGACACCGGCTTGGTAGTAAGAAACCAGATGTTCTCCAGGGAAAAGAGATAATTTGGTTTTCGTCAAGCCGCTTAGGTTTAAAAGTTTTTCTGTGGATTTACATTAAAGGCTAACAAGGAAAATTAAATAATAATGTACATGAACTGCCAACTGCATCTAAAAGCTTTGATTTAAATAATTTGCAAAACAGATTTCCTGCTTCTGTGACCCTTTAGGCTGAGTTTTTTTTTAACTACCACAGTCAGTATGGATAGGCTGAGATTTGAAGCAATGACGATTTTGAGTTGTTAGGAGGACGCCTCGTGCTTTTCCAGCAGACTGTAGTTCAAGCCGATTTGACCTTTTTTTTTTTTTTTTTTGTCTTTTTGAGACAGAGTCTTGCTGTGCAGTTCAGGCTGGCCTTGAGCTCACTTTGTAGCCCAGGCTGGTCTCGAACTCGCAACGATCCTCCTACCTCAGCCTCCCAAGTGCTGGGATTACAGGCATGAGCCACCACGCCCGGCTTGTTTTGACCGTTTTTAACAGGACCTTTTAACTCGCTATTGTATCCATATTTATAAAAACGTTGGGTGAGAAAAGGGCGTCTCCAGATTTTAAATTTGTGAGAAAGGCAACTTTATTTTTTTATTTAGAGACAGAGTCTCGCTGTGTAGTTCAAGCTGACCTTGGCCTCGAACATGGCAATATGCCTGCTTCAGTCTCCTGAGTGCTAGGATTACAGGTATGCACTACCACACATGGCCAATAAAGCAATTAAAAGAAATAACGTTTTTAAATTCTTCTTCTTCTTTTTTTTTTTTTTTTTGTCTTTTTCGTTTTTATCGGTACCAGGGATCAAACTCACGACTGCCTGCTTTCAAGGCAGGCGCTTATGCCGCTGAGCTAAATCCCCAGCCCCACGTTTTTTAATTCTTAAAAAAAAAATTTGCAAGGCAATAGGACCATGCTAGTAATTTGAAATATTTAGTTTTCAAATGGTAACTGTTAGTATTTGTAGGTCTTAAAGATACCCAATAGAAGCAAAAAGTCAGGTCTATAGGCAAAAGTATGCTATCAGTCATATGAGGGGCCCCTTCTGTTTTTCAACATGAAGTGAGTCTATGGTGATGTCAAACCTAAACTCTGTTTTTCAGAACTGGGTCTTGAACCCAGAGCCTTCATATTAAGCTACATTCTCAGCCCTTTTTATTTTTTGAGACAGGCTCTCACTAAATCACTAAGTTGCCCACATTGGGTAATTGTCCTTTCTGCATACATTTTAGAAATTTTAATCACTGACTCTTCTAATGAGGAAACATTTGAATATTCTGGAAGTAGATAGTGATGATAGTTGCACAATTTTCTGAATATATTAAAAATTGAACCATGTATTTTGAAATGTTGAATTTTATGCTATGTGAATTAGAAATTAAATTTAAAAAATAAATTACCAAGTTGGTTTTCAAGGCAGGGAACAACAGTGCCTTTGTTAACAAACTTGATTCTTCCCATGATTCCGGTCAAAAATCGGGTTGGAGGAGAACTAAATCAAATTTAATGGTTAGGTTCAATGTTGACCTTATGAAGGACTTTGATTCTGTTCTCATCCAGTTTGGTTTGTTGCCAGAATTGTGGAGGCATCACTGTTTCAAGTCTTTTTAATCCAAACTGTTTCCCATCTCCCTGTGTTGAAGAAACCATGGCATTTTTCTGGTGTAACATCCCACTGCTTGCATTTTGCTGGTTCTTCCTTGTGAGGTTATTTAGCTGGTATCCCCGACTCCACACAGATGAGAAGCAGGCCATTGGATCTAGTATTAGCTGTAGCTAACTTAGTTAAGCAGAATCTCAGATCCCACCCTAAACTGCTGATTCAGAATCTGCATTTTAACAAAATTCCCATGTACCATGAACAGCGTTATTACACACCAGTGTCTGGCTTGCAACCACACTGATTCACTAGAGCCTTCTGTGTTTGCTCATGATGATGATGGCCTCTTACTTCTGGACAGTTACAGTGGTATGTTTTTTTATCTTTTTCCTTTTTATCAGTATTGGGGATCGAACTCACGACTGCCTGCTTGCAAGGCAGGTGCTTATGCCGCTGAGCTAAATCCCCAGCCCCAACAGTGGTATGTTTTTGACAGAGTTCCAGTAAGTTCTTCCCTCCTGTAGGATGCTTCCTTTTTAGACAGTTCCTCCCTCCACCTCAGCATCCTTCATCCTGAATTCAGAGGGGATGTAACAAGGGCCTACGACATGTCAGTTCTGTGGCATTCCCTCCCCCATCCTTCCATCCATCCCTCTTTCCTTTATCGGTGTGTTCCTGTCATGGCCCCCCCTTCCCTATACTGTGGTCAGAACGCAATCCCTTTGCATTGAGCTATAACCCCAGCCCTTTTGTATTTTTGAGTGTTACTAAACAGCTAAATTACCCAGGCTGTGCTCAGACTTGTGATCCTCCTACTTTAGCCTCTTAGGCTGCTGGGATTATTATTCTTCACAACACCTAGCTATTTTCTCATGTCATTTTGTAGTCAGCCTAGAGCCTACTTTAGATTTGTATTTTAAGAAATTTCTACCCCTTGTAAGCACTTTTGGAAATCACTGTTTCCTGTTTTTAAAAATTTTATCCATGAATTTCAGTATTTGCTATTTTTAGTATTTCTAAAATAGCTTAAAATACCTCAAGGTTGTCATCACACCTAAAAAATTAACTTTTAATACTGAATCAATTCTCAAGTCTCATAAATGGCTTATTTTAGTAATTTGCTTAATTTAGGATTTGGATATGTTTTTTGAGTATGTGTGTTAGGGATGAAACCTGGGTCTTGTGTTAAGTGCTCTACCAGTGAGCTACACCTTCAGCCCAAGTATCTTCTAATCTTTTTCCTCTATACCTTTTTTCTTTGCCTTTATGTTTATGTGAGAAAGTGCGTCATTTTTCTGCACCTTTCCAGAGTTCATTTTGTTTTCCAAATGCATGCTACATTGCAGTTAAACACACTCCCCTATAATTCCTGAAAATTACAGGGTGAATATAGAGGTATTGTCAGATTCAGGGTTGACATTTCTAGCTAAATTTCATAGGTGGTGGCAAGTGATATCTGGAGACACACTATGTTTGTTTATCTTAGTTCATTCATGCTGCCTAGCAAAGTATCTTATGGAAACATCAAAACATCTCATGGACAACACGTATGTTTCTCACGGTTCTAGGGGCTAGGAAGACAAAAAGCAAGCTGCTAGTGGCTCCATGTCTGGTAATGGGCTACCTTCTGGTGCATGGATGGTGTAAGCTTGCTGTGGCAGAAAGGGGAGTAATCTCTGGGTCTTCTGTAAAAGAGCATTAACCCCATGCATGGGGACTCCATCTTCATGATCTAGACCCTCCCAAAGACCCCTTTCCCAATACCATCACTTGGCCCGAGGTTAGGATTTTAACGCAGTAATTTTTATTTTTTTATTTTTTTTATTTTTAGAAAGGTCTTGCTATCTAGGGCTGGCCTTGAACTCACTCTGAAGCCTAGGCTGGCTTTAAACTCATAGTGAGCCTCTTGCTCCAGTTTCGAGAGCTGATATTAAAGGTGTGCACTATCAGGCCTTGTTTAAGAAATTCCAAGAGGACACAAACATTGAGAGCACAGCAATTCTCTCTTTTGGTGATGTCTGCAGCCATTACTGCCCAATGCCTGTATCTACTAGGCATCACAAAATGCTGATGGTACTAGAGGCTGGGGATTTAGCTCAGTGGCATAAGCACCTGCTTTGCAAGCGAGCGGTCGTGAGTTCGATCCCTGGTACTGATAAAAAAAAATGCTGATACTCTACTACATCTTTCCTTCTTTAGTTATTAGTTGCAAGGTTAGGTATTTAAAAAGTAATGTAAAACCCTCCCAGAAGGCTGTATTTAAACCTATAAAGTGTGGGGTCATGCTGAGTCGAAAACAATGAAACAAGCATCTGAGAGAAGCCAACTGTTACATCCAAATGGATGTCACTGCACAATTTTACTGTTTCAAATTCCTCATACGAAAGCATGGGATGGTGGTGCACACTTGAAGGGATTGCCATGGATTCCAGGAGAGCCTGGACTACATAGTAAGTTCAGGGCCAGCCTGAGCTACTAGCCAGACCCCATCTCAAAACATCAAATAAAAATTCCTCATTTTAACCTCCTTTCTGCTTAATATTCCTTGGGAGATTTGTATTCTGAACAAGACACCCCAAAAGGAAACCCCCAGCTTTCTGACTGGGGGTGGTGGCTGGAAGCCTGCTGGTTTCTTCACTTGAGCAATCCTAATCCATTGCTGAGCAGCTAGAAGGCTAAAATGTGCTCAGCATGCAGCTTTAAGGCCTGTAGCTCTACCTTAAGGGAGAACCTGGTAGAAAGTCCTGCATTCAACTGAACCTGGAGACTGGGTCTTGTGATCACCTCCTGTGAGAGGCATAGGAGAAACTGGCTTGTGGCCACTTGGCACAAGACTGTGATCTCCCTTTGTATCTTGAGGAATCACAGTGTTCTGCCAAGGTTCTGGTCAGACCAGAGCACAGATAAGTCTTCTCTGAGTGGCTTATCTGGATCTATGCAAGGCTGGGGGCATCATGGATAAACTGTTCCCTACTTATCCACCTGCAGATCACCACCTTTCCCAGGGATTAGACTTGACCATCGCCATCACTATCAGGGACAATCTGGCAAGGGTTACATGAAGAAATAAGGATGCACACAGCAAGGGATTCTTTCTTTCTTTCCTTTTTTTGTCTTTTTGAGACAGGGTCTCCCTATGCAGCTTCAGGCTGGCCTAGAACTCACTTTGTAGCCCAGGCTGGTCTTGAACTTGCAACAATCCTCCTACTTCAGCCTCCTCAGTGCTGGGATTACAGATGTATGACACCACATTTGGGTTTTAAAAATAAAAAAAAAATTTTTGTACTGGGAATTGAACTTGGGACCTTGTGCTTGTCAGGCAGGTACTTATGCTACTGAGCTGTATTTCTGGCCCCAGGATGGGATTCTTGCAAAAAATTCTTTTTTTTTTTCTTGCAAAAAATTCTTGACCTGCATCTAATCAAGCCTGCAGGAGCTAAGTTCCAGTTCATAAGGTGACAGAAGATGAAATGATACCATGAAGAAATAGTGAGGTAAATTCAGTGAGATATAGTCTACAAGACAACTGACTTAGCTTCTTTAAAATTTGTTTACATAGCAGGGTCATGTGAAGAAGTACTGTAGAATTAAAAACAACAAAAACTGCCAAGCTTAGTGGCACATACTTGTATTCACAGTACTTTGGAAGGCTGAGGCAGGAAGATCACAAGGTCAAGCCCAGCTTGAGCATATTAGTGAGACCCTGTATAAAAATTAAAAAGGCTGCAATCCCAGTAGTCAAGAGGCCACGGTAGGAGGATTGAAGGGTGACTTAGCAAGACCCTGTCTCAAAATAAAAAGGAGTAGAAGATGTTGCTCAGTGCAAAGGCCCCGATTCAACTCCCATTACTATAAAACAAAACCAAATCACCACATACAAGTTAAAAACCTACACAGATCAATTTTAGTACACATAGGGACTTGAAGCTATTTTGTATAACCCTGTTGATTGGCACACAGGTGGTCAAAGGTCAGTAAAATAAAATACAACAGCAAATAGAGAAGGGAATCCCTGTGAGGTCCCTCTTACTGCTGGTCAGGGCCCCAATCTCCCCCAGCTTCTTGCCCAGCCATATGATTTTACACATGCAATCTTACACTTTTCCACTGAGTTTTTATTGTTATTTAAGTGGTGATTCAGGGTCCCAGAGCAGGGACCATCATGTACTCAGGTCC